GCCCAATTTGCCTAATAAGCCAAGTTTTACTGAATTAATATATTTTCTCTATTTTTTTTCTTATGAAATGATAAAGCTACCCATTTCATTATGTATGAGGTCAATTGTTTTTTATTGGAGTTAAAATTAACGAAGATATATGACCGAACCTAACCTAACCTAACCTATCTTTATAGGTTAGGTTAGGTTAGGTTAGGTTAGGTAGGGTAGGTTAGGTAGTCGAAAAAAACAATATTTAAGAGGCCCGAGACTCTTCAACACGCTTCCACTACACATAAGGGAAATAACTGGCCGACCCCTCACAGTGTTCAAAACAGAACTATCAACATCAGAGGCCCGAGACTGTTCAACACGCTTCCACTACACATCAGGGGCATAACTTGCCGACCCCTGATAGTGTTCAAGAGAGAACTATCAACATCAGAGGCCCGAGACTGTTCAACACGCTTCCACTACAACTAAGGGGCATAACTGGCCGACCCCTGACAGTGTTCAAGAAGAGAACTATCAACATCAGAGGCCCGAGACTGTTCAACACGCTTCCACGACACCTAAGGGACATAACTGGCCGACCCTGACAGTGTTCAAGAGAGAACTATCAACATCAGAGGCCCGAGACTGTTCAACACGCTTCACACATACAAAACACACGCACAAGGGGACACAGGTGGACTGAGTGCCCAAATGTGCCAGAGATATTAGAAAGAACTTTTTTTTAGTGTCAGAGTGGTTGACATATGGAATGCATTAGGAAGTGATGTGGTGGAGGCTGACTCCATACACAGTTTCAAGTGTAGATATGATAGAGCCCAATAGGCTCAGGAATCTGTACACCTGTTGATTGACGGTTGAGAGGCGGGACCGAAGAGCCAGAGCTCAACCCCCCCGCAAACACAACTAGGTGAGTACAACACTGACCGACCTCTCACAGTGTTCAAGAGAGAACTTGATAAACACCTCAAAAAATGATAAAAAACACTGATATAAGTATGCAGAAAAAAAAAAAGTATAGAAAGTATGATGAACAGTTTAATTACAGAAATTCCATCTGATTAACCATTTGTTTAATCAGTAATTAGAAAAGTAGCTATTAAGATGTTTCGTAGAATTTACTTTTGGGTGAAAATCACAACACAATTGGGTATGATGCCACTTAGTGGAGAGATTTATCAAGAGATCAGCAGCAGATCGGCCTATACTAAAACCATACTGTCGATCACATGTTAGCCAATGATGATCAACAAATAATGTCATTGCGTAGTGATTAGTAAGTAATTAACCAATGAAGGCATATTGAGCGATTAATGATTCTCTCTCTCTCTCTCTCTCTCTCTCTCTCTCTCTCTCTCTCTCTCTCTCTCTCTCTCTCTCTCTCTCTCTCTCTCTCTTTCTCTTTCTTTCTCTCTCTCTTTCTCTCTCTCGCTCTCTCTCTCTCTCTCTCTCTCTCTCTCTCTCTCTCTCTCTCTCTCTCTCTCTCTCTCTCTCTCTCTTCTCTCTCTCTCTCTCTCTCTCTCGCTCTCTCTCTCTCTCTCTCTCTCCTCCTCTCTCTCTCTCTCTCTCTCTCTCTCTCTCTCTCTCTCTCTCTCTCTCTCTCTCGCTCTCTCTCTCGCTCTCTCTCTCTCTCCTCTCTCTCTCTCTCTCCTCTCTCTCTCTCTCTTCTCTCTCTCTCTCTCTCTCTCTCTCTCTCTCTCTCTCACTCTCTCTCTCTCTCTCGCTCTCTCTCTCGCTCTCTCTCTCTCTCTCTCTCTCTCTCTCTCTCTCTCTCTCTCTCTCTCTCTCTCTCTCTCTCTCTCTCTCACTTTCTCTCTCTCTCTCTCTCTCTCTCCTCTCTCTCTCTCTCTCTCTCTCTCTCTCTCTCTCTCTCTCTCTCTCTCTCTGTCTCTCTCTCTCTCTGTCTCTCTCTCTCTCTCTCTCAACATTTACCAATCTCACCACACACACATTAATAGCATAATTTATTTAAACAATACATACAACAATGAAGGTTTTACGTGCAAAGGAATAGACAAACAGATAATTTAACAAATTAATCCTTTTATTTCTTTATTTTTGTTATAAACTCAATAATGGCATATTGAACCAGTTCCTTTTCACAGGGCGAGGATATCTAGATATCCTTCTCACAGGACGAGAATACCATGGTACTCCCTAATACGGAGCAAATAGTCCTCCGTCCGCGCCTAGTCCCTCATAACCTACTCCGTAGGCATCCTCAGTCCGTCACTGTTAATCCCCCACTTGGCGCACTTTGCCTCATACCGCTCAATCCTCTTGCGGTCTCGGTGGTAAGAGGAGTCCGTGGCTGGTGTCGTCTCTGATGTGGTCCTGTAGGCGGCGGAGCAGGTTGGGCAGGGATGGCCGCCAGTCTTGGTTGGACAGTGTGGCCTCCTGGAACAGATTCACTAATACCGGATCTTTGGTACCTGTCACCTCTAGGATCTCCTGCATTAGACGCCCGTAGGAGAAGACGTCTGAGGCGAAGGTGCTGGGTTCACCAGCCAAGATTTCTGGGGCGTTAGAACGGGAAGTCTTCGGGGTCACCTTTCGCAAGGACCACTTCACCAGTCTTACAGGAGAGGCCGAAGTCGATCACGCTAATTTTTGGGTGGTCGGGTGAGCCTTCAATCATTATATTGTTGGATTTTACATCATTATGGACATAGTCTCTTGTGTGGATATGCAGTATTTTTAGTCCAATTTTAAACCCAATCTGCACTACGTCGTATTGCGGGTCGCATATGATCTTGTTGAGGCTCGTGTCCCCTTTATAAGTCGTCAGGAGAGCTGGGCGGTCGTCACACACCGCCAGTAGGAGGGGCGCGCCTCCAGCCCCCTTCAGCCCTGACAAGACTTGCGCTTCGCACTCGAAACTCTCAGCGGCCGATTCACGATTGGCCACCTTAAGTGCAGCCTGCTCTCCGTGCCAGTTAACCAGAGCTACTCTACCGTAAGTCCCGGAGCCAAGAGTTTTTATTCTCTTCCTTATGAGCTGCGACACGTCGTGAGCCCCAAGACGCTTCATTTTCCCAGACTAACTAGTCTGATGTCCAGTTAGTCCAGCAGGTGTTAATATCTTGGATGCCAGACAATATAGTCAAGAGGATCACCAGGGCTGGCCAGAGGGGCAGGCAAGGGAAAAATGTTCATGGTCGTCACACCATTTTGATCACCCGTCAATTGTCTTAGCAACACCGTACACATTATTGACAGGACTTTATCCTCAAGTTGTCAAGTGCAGTTTGACGGCGACTGTCAAGATGTGTGGTAGTGATGGTGAGTAGTGTGGTAGTGATGGTGAGTAGTGTGGTAGTGATGGTGAGTAGTGTGGTAGTGATGGTGAATAGTGTGGTAGTGATGGTGAGTAGTGTGGTGGTAGTGATGGTGAGTAGTGTGGTAGTGATGGTGGGGAGTAGTGTAGTAGTGATGGTGAGTAGTGTGGTAGTGGATGGTGGTGAGTATTGTGCTAGTGATGGTGGTGAGTAGTGTGGGTAGTGTTGGTGAGTAGTGTGGTAGTGTTGGTGAGTAGTGTGGTAGTGTTGGTGAGCAGTGTGGTAGTGTTGGTGAGTAGTGTGGTAGTGTTGGTGAGTAGTGAGGTAGTGATGGTGAGTAGTGTGGTAGTGATGGTGAGTAGTGTGGTAGTGATGATGGTGAGTAGTGTGGTATTGCTGGTGAGTAGTGTGGTAGTGATGGTGAGTAGTGTGGTAGTAATGGTTAGTGTGGTAGTGATGATGGTGAGTAGTGGTGGTAGTGATGGTGAGTAGTGTGGTAGTGATGATGGTGAGTAGTGTGGTAGTGATGGTGAGTAGTGTGGTAGTGATGATGGTGAGTAGTGTGGTAGTGATGGTGAGTAGTGTGGTAGTGATGATGGTGAGTAGTGTGGTAGTGATGATGGTGAGTAGTGTGGTAGTGATGGTGAGCAGTGTGGTAGTGATGATGGTGAGTAGTGTGGTAGTGACGGTGAGTAGTGTGGTAGTGATGATGGTGGTGAGTAGTGTGATAATGATGGTGTTTGGTGAGTAGTGTGGTAGTGATGGTGAGTAGTGTGGTAGTGATGGTGAGTAGTGTGGTAGTGATGATGGTGGTGAGTAGTGTGGTAGTGATGATGATGGTGAGTAGTGTGGTAGTGATGATGTTGGTGAGTAGTGTGGTAGTGATGATGTTGGTGAGTAGTGTGGTAGTGATGATGATGGTGAGTAGTGTGGTAGTGAAGATGTTGGTGAGTAGTGTGGTAGTGATGATGTTGGTGAGTAGTGTGGTAGTGACGGTGTTGTTGAGTAGTGTGGTAGTGATGGTGTTGGTGAGTAGTGTGGTAGTGATGATGGTAGTAGTGTGATAGTGATGATGATGGTGAGTAGTGTATATTAGTATAAAAAAGTATAAGTATGCATCGTCTGCCCTCGTCTGTAGCAGGTCGTGTGTACTCTATCCCTTGTAATGAGTGTGCATGTATTTATATAGGCCAGACTGGCAAATCTCTTTCCTCGCGTTTAAAACAACATTCATATGATATTCGTACAGCCCAGCCCTCCAGTGCATTGTATTTGCATTCTAGTTTGTGCAATCTATGGCCTACAAAGGGGGCAAAATGCCTTGTTAAAAGTTTGGGTTTTGTTGAAGGAAATGTGATGGAGTCTTGTCTAATCAAACACTGTAACAACATCCTTAATGTGAGCCCTGGTATGTACAAGTTGGATCCCCATGTAAGCCTCAATATAGCACATCAATACAATATAGCATCCATTTAACCTGTATGGCACTTGTATATATCTTCCAGTTCTGGGGCCGGATTCACGAAGCAGTTACGCAAGCACTTACTAACCTGTCCATCTTTTCTCAATCTTTGGCGGCTTTGTTTACAATTATTAAACAGTTAATGAGCTCCGAAGCACAAGGAGGCTGTTTATAACAATACCAACAGTTGATTGGCAAGTTTTCATGCTTGTAAACCGTTTAATAAATGTAAATAAATCCGTTAAAGATTGAGGAAAGATGTACACGTTCGTAAGTACTTGCGTAACTGCTTCGTGAATCTGGCTCCTGGGGGTTTGGCGGGTGCATGGAATGGACCTTGGCCTTTGTTTATGAGGACGGACTGAACAACCTTCAAGCGCACCAAACCCTTGTTCCTATCTCGGACCGTTTAACGGCTCTTCCGGTCACCACTTCCAGCTACCACTGGAGCACTTGTTGTACTGCCTTGACCCTGGCACAGACGGAGCCGCCGGCCCTCACCAGGGGCCAGATTCACGAAGTAGTTACGCAAGCACCCAGAGGGGAGGGGCAGATTATAACAATAACTGTTGTTATTGTTATAAACAGCCTCCTGGTGCTTCCGAGCTCATTAACTGTTTAATAATTGTAAACAAACCCGCCAAAGATTGAGGAAAGATGTACAGGTTCGTAAGTGCTTGCTTAACTCCTTTGTGAATCTGGCTCCAGATCCGTAAGTGCTTGCGTAACTGCTTCGTGAATCTGGCCCCAGGTTCGTAAGTGCTTGCGTAACTGCTCCGTGAATCTGGCCCCAGGTCCGTAAGTGCTTGCGTAACTGCTCCGTGAATCTGGCTCCAGGTCCATAAGTGCTTGCGTAACTCCTTTGTGAATCTAGCCCCAGGTCCATAAGTGGTTGTGTAACTGCTTCGTAAATCTGGCCCCAGGTCCGTTAGTGCTTGCGTAACTGCTTCGTGAATCTGGCCCCAGGTCCGTAAGTGCTTGCGTGACTACTTCGTGAATCTGGCCCTGGTCCGTAAGTGCTTGCGTAACTGCTTCGTGAATCTGGCCCCAGGTCCGTAAGTGCTTGCGTAACTGCTTCGTGAATCTGGCCCCAAGTTCGTAAGTGCTTGCGTAACTACTTCGTGAATCTGGCCCCAGGTCCGTAAGTGCTTGCGTAACTGCTCCGTGAATCTGGCCCCAGGTCCGTAAGTGCTTGCGTAACTGCTTCGTGAATCTGGCCCCAGGTCCGTAAGTGCTTGCGTAACTACTTCGTGAATCTGGCCCTAGGTCCGTAAGTGCTTGCGTAACTGCTTCGTGAATCTGGCCCTAGGTCCGTAAGTGCTTGCATAACTGCTTCGTGAATCTGGCCCTTGGCAACAACGGCATCTAACACACCAGTAAACATTCAGTACTTTCATAAACTTCTTCCTCCGCGCGATGAGTTCGAGAGAGAAATCTAGTAACTTATTGCTTAATTTATTCTTGCAGCAATTTGGGTACAACAACATGTCAGCTCTGGGTGGTTATCTAGTCATGGGTGGAGGTGATAATTAAGATTCCTCATGTTAATTTTCGATTTATCTGCTTGATAGGGATCTGGGAGTTCTTCTACTCCCCAAGCCCGGCCTGAGGCCAGGCTTGACTTGTGAGAGTTTGGTCCACCAGGCTGTTGCTTGGAGCGGCCCGCAGGCCTTGCTTGACTTGTGAAAGTTTGGTCCACCAGGCTGTTGCTTGGAGCGGCCCGCAGGCAGGTTGACTTGTGAGAGTTTGGTCCACCAGGCTGTTGCTTCTAGCGGCCCGCAGGAGGGCTTGACTTGTGAGAGTTTGGTCCACCAGGCTGTTGCTTGGAGCGGCCCGCAGGCCAGGTTTGACTTGTGAGAGTTTGGTCCACAGGCTGTTGCTTCTAGCGGCCCGCAGGCCGGGCTTGACTTGTGAGAGTTTGGTCCACCAGGCTGTTGCTTGGAGCGGCCCGCAGGCCAGGCTTTACTCGTGAAAATTTGGTCCACCAGGCTGTTGCTTCTAGCGGCCCGCAGGCCGGGCTTGACTGTGAGAGTTGGTCCACCAGGGCTGTTGCTTGGAGCGGCCGAGGCCAGGCTTGACTTGTGAGAGTTTGGTCCACCAGGCTGTTGCTTGGAGCGGCCCGCAGGCCAAGCTTGACTTGTGAGAGTTTGGTCTACCAGGCTGTTGCTTGGAGTGGCCCGCAAACCAGGCTTGACTGTGAGAGTTTGGTCCACCAGGCTATTGTTTGGTGCGGCCCGAAGCCAGGCTTGACTTGTGAGAGTTTGGTCCACCATGCTGTTGCTTGGAGCGGCTCGCAGGCCAGGCTTGACTTGTGAGTTTGGTCCACCAGGCTGTTGCTTGGAGCGGCCAGAGGCCAGGCTTCACTTGTGAAAGTTTGGTCCACCAGGCTGTTGCTGGGAGCGGCCCGAGGCCAGGCTTGACTTGTGAGAGTTTGGTCCACCAGGCTGTTGCTTGGAGCGGCCCGCAGCCAAGCTTGACTTGTGAGAGTTTGGTCCACCAGGCTGTTGCTTGGAGCGACCCTAGGCCTGGCTTGACTTGTGAGAGTTTGGTCCAGCAGACAGTTGCTTGAAGCGGCCCGAGGCCAGGCATGACTTGTGAGAGTTTGGTCTACCAGGCTGTTGTTTGGAGTGCCCGCAAACCAGGCTTGACTGTGAGAGTTTGGTCCACCAGGCTATTGCTTGGTGCGGCCCGAGGCCAGGCTTGACTTGTGAGAGTTTGGTCCACCAGGCTGTTGCTTGAAGCGGCCCGAGGCCAGGCTTGACTTGTGAGAGTTTGATTCACCAGGCTGTTGCTTGGAGTGGCCCGCAGACCAGGCTTGACTTGCGAGAGTTTGGTTCACCAGGCTGTTGCTTGGAGCGGCCCGTTTCAAGGCTTGACTTGTGAGTTTGGTCCACCAGGCTGTTGCTTGGAGCGGCCCGTGGCCAGGCTTGACTTGTGAGAGTTTGGTCCACCAGGCTGTTACTTGGAGCGGCCCGCAGGCCAGGCTTTACTCGTGAAAATTTGGTCAACCAGGCTGTTGCTTCTAGCGGCCCGCAGGCCGGGCTTGACTTGTGAGAGTTTGGTCCACCAGGCTGTTGCTTGGAGCGGCCAGAGGCCAGGCTTCACTTGTGAAGTTTGGTCCACCAGGCTGTTGCTGGGAGCGCCCGAGGCCAGGCTTGACTTGTGAGAGTTTGGTCCACCAGGCTGTTGCTTGGAGCGGCCCGCAGGCCAAGCTTGACCTGTGAGAGTTTGGTCTACCAGGCTGTTGCTTGGAGTGGCCCGCAAACCAGGCTTTACTGTGAGAGTTTGGTC